CTCTCAGGCTGACCCACCTCCCTCTAAGAGCTTCAGTTTACTGAGACCCTGCCCTTCCCCCTGCTCTGATGACCTCAGACTGCTCCTCCCTATCAGGGAGTTGACTTCTCTTCTGAAGAGAGAGGAGGCTTTGTTCTACCATCCCCTTGTCCCACCACTGCACCAAGAACTAGAATGAGCACAGAATCTGTTGTTTCTATAATTAAATGCACTGGATTATCTCATTGTATTTTTAAAATGTTTATCTCATGCTCACTGAACAAAGACACACAGGCTATCTGCAAAGACATGCAGGGAAACACTCAAGCACACACAGACGTTCGGGTGTCTACTCTCAGAAGAGAACACACTGGAAGGGGAGGGTGGAGACAATGCTGATCAACAGTGTCCATCTTCCCATGGGGGAAATGTCTTCTCATGCTTCCCCATTCATTTCCTTCAGCACCTTGAATGCTGGCTCTTCTGGTGCAGGGCTAGCATGAACAGACTGAATTCCATGAAGAACCTAGCATGGCAGGGAAGGCATGACAGCTGGCTCCACACTCACAGCAATCCTCCTGCCTCAGTCTATCCACTACTGAGGTTACACCAGTAGGCCAACATTTGCAACTTCTTCATGTTTGAGACTGACATTTCCCCCCAGTATTTTGTGTCAGCTTACTGATTTCCAGTTGGTAATGAGAAAGTAGCAATACTCTTGTTCAAGGTCCCTTATATATGACAGATCACTTCTTTCTTACTGTTTTCAAGATTAATGGATTTTGTTGAATGGGGTCACTATCTCTCCAGCTTCCTCTTCCTCCCCCCCTTTGCCATCTGGGATTCCCACTGTGTGTAAACTCCACAGGACCCTGATGTGGTTGATTTTTCTTAGTCTTGTTCTCCTCTCTGTTCAATTTCAGATTGACAGATTTATAGGAAGTGTTGTCTGTATACAGACTGTTGGATAATTTCCTGCTGCCGTGACAACATCATGGCCAACGCACCTTGTGGAAGAAAACGTTTACCTGGACTTATGGTTCTAGAAGGAAAGGAGTCCATCATGGCCAGGAGATAAGAAAGCTTGGGGACTACACAATTCCTGGAGTAGGAAGCTGGTGGCTAACATATTGAATAGAAAGCAGCAAGCAGAGAAAGCTAACTACAAGTAGAATGAGGCTTTTTACTTTCCAAGCCCAATCCTACTGTCATGCTTCCTCCAGCCACACCCCCAATCCTGTCCAAACGGTGCCACCAACTGGTGAGCAACTGTTCAGGTGACTGAAACTATGACATTTATCAGTCAAACCACCACATTAGGCGACATTTCCTTTGCTTGCTTAATTTTTGTTGACAATGGACTCTTTAAATAATAGGGTGTGGGGATTCCAGAGGTCATGTCCAGGCTGTCCATGCCAAGTTCTGTTTTTGTTGTTATTGTTTTGTTTGAGTTTTCAGATCTGATTCTATAAAATGTCTGTCCTTTGTCATGTACACATGTCCCTGAAGTCTCTGCTCTGGTAGTACAATAGTCAACTAGTGATCAGACAAAATGTCTTAAATTCCTGGACTGAAGGAGATCTTGGTGTGCTTTTGGGGACACACCTTTAACACTCCTCAGGGGTGCACAACTCTGCCTCTATTTTGTGTTCTGTCTGTAAAGAGCCTCAAGACCAAGCCAGATTAAAATCTGGAGGCATGCCCTGGTCTGTCCTAAGCATTTTCCAGCTCCAGTCATGTACACAGTCTCCTAGATTCCCAGGAATATGTCAAACTTTTCAAAGTCTCCATGGAGAAATTACTTATAACTTTTCCTCTTAAATGTTTACATATTTGTTATTCACTGTCCCATTCTCAAAAATCATTCATAGGAAAAAAACTGTTGGTGCCAGGGAAGCTATTAGACAAAAGACAAGCCTTTCTGTCAGGGTCTTCCAGGAACTACAAGACTTCCAGGAATCCAAGAATGTCAGTTCTCCAGGAATGGGATTCTGAGGGAACTCCAACTTTAACTGGAGGAAGCCAGCTGACAGTTCTCATGGTGATTATAGATCAAAGAGTTTGTCTGATTTTTTGTTTTATTTTGGTTTTTGGTTTTTAAGACTATAGAAGATTTTTGGGTGTGGAAAGTGAAGCAAATTAACCACAAAACTTAATGTCCTTACTGTGTTCCTTCAGTTGCCATTTTTACATCCAGGACTGCTGTAAGTCCATGGTTAATTGTTATATGTCTGCAATAATGATTTTCAGAGCGCTCTCTGCCATGCCCACGGGTATCACTTCACAGTACACTGAAGCCTTACAGACAGAATCTGGGTTCAGTGAAGTGTGGGCAAAAGGAAGCAAGGGTTTGGTCCTAAGAAACAACAGCTATGATCCAGACCAAAAAGTTGTGGTGAGCGTAACTTACACAAAGACAAGAGGGGAGAGAGACCCTGGAGAGCTGTACCGCTGCTGTTGTAGTCAGTGACTAAAAGAAAATGTCAAGTTTCACTGAAAGTTAACCAATAGTGGCAACATTCCCAGAGTAGAAGAGAAAAGGCAGCCAATGGAGGGACCAGGAGCACCACAAGGGACTCACGGTCTGACGGGAGCTCACGGTCTGATGGGAACTCACGGTCTGATGGGAGTTCACGGTCTGATGGGAGCTCATGGTCTGACGGGAGTTCACGGTCTGATGGGAACTCACGGTCTTGATGGGAACTCACGGTCTGATGGGAGAGGGATTGCCAGAAGAAACACTAAAGGTAGGGGTGGGTGCTGCAGTGCCTGGTAAACCTTTTGGTGTTAACTTCCTGAAGATACAGTGGCCAATAGGAATGAGAGTGGAGACATTCTGAACCGTGGTGACCAATGGAGCTGAGAAGGTTGACACCCTGGAGACACAGCCACTGATAGGATGGAGGGACAGGCTTGCTAATCAGCAGCCAGAGATGGGCAGTAGCTTCAGATGAGTCAGATAAATGTAAAGGACTCTCAAACTCCGTGCACCAGACAATAGATCTTCAGATGCTCATGCAGTTCGCTCTCCAGGCAACCTCGGAAATGTGTCCAAGGGACAACAAGATCTCTCTGGGGTTCTGGCCACAATATCAAAAGGGGTGAAGGCTGGGAAATACCATAGATATTGTGAGAATTATCTCTTGCTAAATTGTAGGGTACTGTTGACTTAAGAAAAACAAATTGTAGGGTACTGTTGACTTAAGAAAAACAAAATTTAAATACGCTGCCAGAGACTGGGGTGTGACACTTTTGCTCAGACTTGATTCTGTTCAGTCTAGCCCTTTCATCTGTGGGAAACACAAGCTGCCAACACCATCTGTGAAGATAATTAGTTGAAAAACAATAAACAGGAACTGTGTGTGGCCAAGGGGAGAAATGGGTTGTGCTGATAATAGCTAGATTTTTTCAGCCTTTGGTTCTTGAGCACATCCTGTGACTACTGAAATAATGGGGAGGGAGTTTCAGAGATTGGGTTGAGGTGAGAAGAGCCACTCTAACTGTAGGTACAACATTTCAAAATTTCTGACTAAGTAAAAAGGGAAAAGTAATCTGAGCACCACTGGCCATCATTCTTTGCTCCTTAATAGTGGTCAAGATGTGACTCATTGCCTTCGGTCCCTGCCACAGTGCCTGCTCTGGTAATCATGGATGCACTTCTTCCCTCCTTTTCCCACCTCCTTCCTTATTGTCATCATGCTTATCACAGCAATGGGAGAGGGAAGAATACAGTCCCATTGGATGGAGAGCTATGGCTGCCGTCTGGATACTGTGGCTTCCTTGCGTTCAGGTGGGGTCAACTGGTCCTGGGCAGTGAGAGGAAGCCATGTGCCTGTGGCACAGCAGGCGCAGAGGACTGCGTGTGGTCCCCATCCTGGGACCAACTGCCTCTGAGAATGGACAAGGATGGCCACCTCAGCCTAGGAGGAGGACTATGGTCACCAGGGACTTATTTTAACCCTTCAGCGTTGGTGGTTTTGTCACACCAACAGGAAGTACCAAGATGAACAAAGATGAAAGCAGAAAGTGAGAGATTTTGAGAATGTTGGGGGGGGGGGAGGATGCCTGGAGCCAACTGTAGTCTGAGACAGGTGGAATGAGCTGCCAAAGTCTGCAGTTCAGCCTGAATATCTCTTCATTTCCCCAGGAAAAGCAGAACCCTGAAAGAAGAGATCCCTACACACACATGACCAGTGAATATGCATGGAGCATTCCAAACAGCAGAGGGAGCCCTGAATGTTCTCCAAGAAGAACCTGTTACTCAGTCAGCTCCAAGGCATGCAGCTGGCTGGCAGGCTCAGAAGGCGATGCTTTCAGGACCCGCCTCAACTTTTGACATGAAGGTATTCTCTTCCCAGGAAGTTCCTAGTGTAAAGCTGAGCCCAGCAGAGACGCTAATATGTCTCCAATGCAGACCTCGTGACTGGCCAGCCTGCGCTGCAGAGCTCTTTGCCGAACTGATACAGGCTTTGTCAGGTTTCCTGCCCCTCTATGCTCCCTTCGAGGCCTTCCTGACCCTATTCTACTCATCTTCATCGTTCCATCAGGCACCTCCTGTATACCTCTAACTCTCCTGTCTCTTCCCATGGGATTCTCAGAGCCAGTATTGCTGCCCCACACAGAAAAGAACCTACAGAAATACTGCAGTGTATGTTAGACCCTACAATGAGAATATGTCACATGGCTTATCCTGTGCATCCCTCACTGTGTCCAGGTCCTAGTGTCACATGCTCAATCCAAGGGAGCTGTCAGGAATGTGTCACTGTCCTCAAACAGAAGAGAATCTCAGGGAAGAGGCACAACTATCATCCAGACCTGAAACCCCCTATTCCTGGTTCTAAGGCTGTTCTCACTAATTTTTTCCATGGTTTAGGGCAGTCAATCCAAGAGTTAGTAAAAGATGTCATATCAGGAACTGTCACTCATTTAAAAAGACCAAAGTACATAAAAGTTTCAGTGGCCTCTTTATGAAATCAGGCTCTTTACCTAAACCAGGGGGAAAAGTCATCAGAAAGAAAGTGTGAAGTCATAATCCAATTCATCTTTACTATCTGATTCGACTCAGTATATTTACCCATACATTGTCTAAAAGTTACCATGTTAACATGTATGTGGCATTCAATTATAGCAGAATCACTTCTTGGCCTTTTGGCTAAGATAAAGTATAATATCAAAACATATCAATTCCCAGGCTTCATTACCCTACCAACAGATTAATCTTGAAGCTAACTAAACACATATATTTTATATCTTATCCTCAAGGTACATGTGAAAGTAACTGTTATTTAAAATGGCTGACCCTTAATACACGTTGGAGACAGTTTCATATTGTTCATTTTACATATTGGTCACCTCAAGCAGCTTCTAGTAGATCATACACAGAACACCATGAAATAAATATCACATACCAGTGAAGCTGGGCACAAAGACAGAATAAAATTGTAATGTTGATGTTCCCATCCACTTTTTGCCATGTCCAAGAATGTTGGCCTTGTCTTTGTGTGTGTGTGTGTGTGTATGTGTGTCTAGATACCCTGGTTCTCAAGGTATTATCTTATTGACCTGAGCCTTGGTCATGGTGTGAGTCCTGACTCTGTTTGACCTACACTGGTGAAATGGTTTTGACCCTTAATATCATCTTGATGTTCAAAACATTTCCCATATCCCCAACCTTATTCTCTTTGTCCTCTAATTCCCTACTGCTTGACCTAACTTGATAATTTTTTCATCCAAACACCTACATCCAACATGAGATACATTTATCCCTCAGCCTTCAAAAGTCATGAACTTTCTTTGAGAGGAACCATCCCACCAGTCCTGCCGTCCCTCATCCCACCCACCTCTGTCTGATGACATCCTTATGTCCCAGACCTTTTATTTGCTCACTTGAGCTCATTGTTTAAACACACTAGTAATTTGTTGGCCTAGGGTTTTAAATTGATGGCCAAAATCCACCCATGAATATGAATGCTCATCATAGTACTTTCTGAGACTATTGGCTATTGTCAACAGATCTTTCACCTGGGTCTCCTGGTTTTGACCAGTTTCTTTGTTATTAAAAGCACAAACTCGCCCCTTGCACTTTTTAACTATACTTTTAAGGGCTTTGTTCTTTGTGTTTCTAGTATAATCGTGAATGTCTCCATCCCCTAGATCTTCCTTCCTTGTAAATAACACAATCATATATCTCATAATTTTTTCTTGAAACATGGCCTCCAGTTGCTCCACGGCTGCCTCATCTTCTTGGGTGAAACGCCCCAGCTGCAGCACCAGAACAAAAACCTTCATTCCATCTTCACAGAGAGATAAGCAGTATTTGACCTCCTCCTTTAACCTGCAAGGATCCTTTTGAATACCAGGCATCTGGCTGAATGATGGAGTGTCTACAACCACAACATCCTGCCAGTCCACTGTGGTCCTGTCACTCTGGCTTCTACTGGTGATAGGCTGAGCTCCCAGTTGAGACAGGAAGGCAGGTCTCCCCAAGATAGTGTTCCCAGTTGCACTCTTTCCAGTCCCACTCCTTCCTAAGAGGATGATGTTTAAGAGTTCTGTTGCAGAGGAAAATGGGAAGGACTCATGACTTTGGGATGATGCAGAACTCACCTTTCCAAGTTATTCACAGCACTAGTTTCATTACTAAGCTCACTAGACATCACCCAGCAGATCTACCCCACACATGAGACTGGCTTGCCCAGTTCATGTGGTCTATGAACTCAACGGGGGGACTTGGACAATGCTCTGCCCATTGCCCATCATGAACATAGCATACCTCCAGCCTCTGAATCTACTCTGCTCCTTTTCCAGGACCTCTTCCTAATCACTGGCACCTATAAGAAACAGTGGCCTTATCTTTGCCCTTTATCTTTGCTAGTATACTCCACACATTTCATTTCTATCTTCTGTGCTTACTGTAACTAAATCTCCCTATTGTCAACTCCTAATAACCATGGCAAAAATGTCTTTTGAAGTATTTGGAAATCTAGTCTATACAATTGGATTTTTAGGGGGAAAAATCACATAATCTATCAATAGATTACCAGTTGAAGTTGTGTTGGTATCTCATACTAAAATTCATTATAAGCCTGATGAATCTTACTGTGTCTTTCAATAATGAGCCAAAGGAACTTCCTGGTTAAAATAAATGCCCAGTAACACTGTTCTTTGAGGTGTCAGTGATAGAAGAGAAGATTTCATATAAATAGTATTTGTAGGTGTAGAAATCTGATTATATTTACTTTCAGGTGTTCCTGATGCCTTTACACTTTGTACTCTCATCTCAGTGGCCCTCCATCATGAACTCTTTTGAGGTAGACTCTAGTGTCTACCTCAAACCAAAGGGGGAGGAAAGTCCATCTTGGTCTTCTTTCGAGGACAACTGCTGAGCTACTCCTGCTGAACCTAGTCTCATAGCATGTTTAAGGGGTAAAAATAGATCGATGACCTGAGCCAACATATGCATGCATGCACATATACACATGCAAGCACACTCATGCACACATGTTCCTGCACTCATGTCATGTATTCCAATCCCTACTTCTGTGTTTTAAAAAGACTCAATAGTCAAGTCTCTCTGAGATCTGGTCCAACTTTCCTGCCATTTGAAGCCCTGTTTCCATCAGGACCATTCTTATCTCCTCCTAAGAGGCATGCTCAGCTAGTCCTGTTTCTTTTCATGAAGTTGCCAGTGTACTCTCTGAGGTGTCTCTCTTCTCTTCCCAGTCATCTACATGCTTCCTGTTCTCTAAAGTCTGTTTCAAATTGAATTTCTCCAGATGCTCTCTCCTGGCCTTTCTGTTTTCCTGTATTTCTTCAGGTAGCTCCTGCAACCTGGCCTTCCGGGGGGAATGTAAAAGGGCAATAAACAGTGACACCAATTCGGGGTACTGATCTTCCTGGGTAAGAACATCCGAGTCAGAAGAGAACAGAGGAGTAGAAATGGGAAAGATCTCAGATGAGGGTCAATAGGGCAACGAGTACTGACAGGATGGGCAGTCCTCTCTCAACATGTAAGAACTGTAATTGCCTCACTAAGGGCCACATGGTACCCATCTGCGTGGCCCCCATCTGCCACAAGCATTCAGGCTCTTTGTCCTTGTCATGTCTTAGCTCCGAATGTTCTCGCTCTGTCTGCTACTTTTACTTTCCTAGTACATGTATATAAGGATGTTCATGTGTGTTTAGATGCACAAGTATGTGCAGGTATGTATATGCATGTATGGTATGCATGGAGAGGCCAGAGGACAACCACAGCTGTCATTCCTCAGCCACAGTCTACCCTTGGTTTTAGAGACAGAGTCTCTCACTGGCCTGAAACTTGATTAGTAAGTAAGAATGGCTGGCCAGCAAGTCTTAGAGACCCATGTGATCCAGTACTGGGAGTGCAACATTCGACACTGTGCCTGGCTTATTTGACATGGGTTCTGGGGACCAAACTCAGGTTTTCATGCTTGTTAGGCAAGTAAGTCATCTTCCAAGCCCTATTTACACTTTCTTTTAGTTTCCCATCTCCAAAGCAGCGAAGAATGAATAACCCAGAGAGAGTTCTGGGGTAAGAGAACAGAAAAGCAAACAAATGACCAGAAGCTGACGTCACTGAGCTGAGTGCTAAGTCCCAGCAACTGCAGAGTGGATCAGCAAGAAGACTGGGAGAGGTCTCCATGCTGGAGAGGTGGATTAGGGATCAGGAAGGAATTAAAAATCAGCCATGAGAGTATACATAAAAAACTCATCACTTTAGGACAATGTAAAGAAGAGACCAACATATGTACCTGCTAGTTGGTTTTGAGACAGGGTCCTATTTAAGCCAGGCTGGCTTTGAACTCGATATTTAGCCAATAAACCTGTATGTCTAGTCCTCCTGACTCTAGGTCCCAAGTGTTGGGACTACAGGAATACACTACCATGCTTGGTTGATGCCTGCTGGGGATCAGATACCCTAGTGCATGCTGGGTAAGCACTGTACTACTGAACCTCACCCGCAGCCTGGGCTTTTTCTCGCCCTCTGCACTTCCTGCAGAAAGTAGTGGCTCTACATCATGCAATACACCCCAAGCACTGGATACAAGACCATTTCCTCTGCTTAACCATACCTTTCTCTCTGAGGATGCAAGGCTTGTTGCCATTGCGCTGCACCATGCTCTCGACTTGGTCCAGGAGTTTATTCACCTGGTTCTGCTCCTCCTTGACAGTTGCCCGATAGTTGAAAGCCACATATCTTTTTTCAAATTTCAAGATGAGCTCCTGGAGATTGCTATTTTTGCTTATAAATTCATCTAGGGCCTGATCCTCTAAATCTTCTTTCCTGGTAAAGAGAATAATTGTGAACTTGGTGAATTTTTCTCCAAAAATATTTTTGACAAGGTTGAACATATTGTCATCACTCTTTATCGAAGAGTTCAGCGGTATCACCAGTAGGAAGGCATGGGGACCCGGAAAGGTTAGCTTCTTGACTTCAGATGTATCAGGCTTCCACGATGAGATCTCTGGAGAATCAATGACCATGACTTTCTTCCTGTTCCAGATCCTGCTGTGGGCTGTAAAGATCTTGGTGACCTGTTGCTCACTGTATTGAGTCTTAAAGGGCCGCTTCCCCAGAATGCTGTTCCCTGCTGCACTTTTCCCAACACCACGCTTCCCCATGAGGAGAACTCTCAGTTCTGGCATCTCTACATCCTGATCGGATCCTGGAATCTGAGGCTGTCTCTTCTTTGGACCTGTGAGACCAGAAAAATAAAAATGGATCCGCTGTCTCCTCCTGCCATTGGATACAGGTGTGAACTGCCCTGGAAAGCCCCAGCCCTGTGACTGAGCAGGCCTCTACTCTCAGGCAGAACCCAGGCAACCAGATAGAAACTATGGGAAGGAGAAATAAACTAGAAGGAATATGGAAAGCCCAGGGTTTTCCAGAAGAATGACTATGCTAAAAAGAGCTTCTACTGGCCTTCATTCTTCAAAAGTATTACAGAGTGAGGTCATGGAAGCAGGAACTGGGAAGGGGTATGAGGGCAGGTTTGCTTGCAGAAGCAAGAGTGGTAGAACACAGGTAGAAGGAAAGTAAACAAGGGTACAGAAGAAGGAAGGGGTGTGCATACTGGGGAGGTGAAGGGGTGGGAAAATAATTAGCCAAAAACAAAGTGTCTATGAAAAAAATCCTTACAGAAACCTACTGTCTTGTAAATTCTCTCACAAGAAAACACAAAGGAAAAGATGGAATCATTCCATTTATTTCTTTTCAAATGAGGGTCCCTTCAATACGGAGAGCCCATATAGTACAGATAGAAGTGGGTGCTGGGAAAAAAGACAGCAGACCTAGGGATATCAGTCCCATGGTAGATCCACAGTCCCATGGTAGATGCCACAACTCCAAGACCATGACAATATGAAGCACATCAACAGTTCCAAAATATCCCTCTACTGGCTGCATAGACAGCAGTGGCCTCTCTCTAACCTTGCCATCCTGAGGACAAAAAAAATCCTAATGTTTCTAGTTGTAGAATTACCCCCACAGCTTGCTAGCTAGTATCCAGTCCAAAGTGAGCCTGACTTCCTCAGGACCACCCAGTTGAAGCCACGTGCCACTAAAAATTCTCTCCAGCGCCCCAGGCTGAGGTGCCTTCACTGTGTTAGATCAGTCATCATCACATACGTGTTCCTGAGGGTTTATACTAATGGTCATTACTGAATTTTTAATTCCAAGGTCTATAAAATCAGTACTTTGATAAGACACCTCCATTCCATGCTTCTTATGAAAAAGGATGTTTCCCATGGTCACTAGTGTGCCTGCCAAAATACTATAAACTGTACATATATTATACATACAATTTGAGGACTGAAGTATGTGTATGTCATTTCCTCACCCACAGCGTCAGCTTCAATGTTGCTGTTATTATTACTAAACTTCACAAATGACTTTTTTATTATTTTATGGTACTTCATGAGGAAAGGACCCTGTCTGTGAGATTTCCGGTTTTTACACAGGGCAGATTTGAAAAGAAGCTAAAAATGCACCTGTGACTTCATAAGCCTTGTGTGTCCTCCCTACAGGCATTCTACTTACTATTGTGTACCAACCTGTGTTGCTATATAGAACATCCAACTAATGGAAGTCCATACAAAGATGCTGGTGCCATCCATGAGGAGTGTTTCCTGTTCCGCATCAGAAAGTCTAAACTCATGACCAGGAAGGAGAAACAGAGTTAGGAGAAAGCCGTGGAAAGCAAGGCTTCCTCCATCATAGAACAGAGGGGGCCAGGGACATCACAGTGTCCAGCACTTTGCCGGCTGCACTGAGTCACTCATGCCAGGAGCCCTCTGGGGACAGGTATGGACACCCACATAGATTGAGTCTCCATGTACCACTTTACTTTAGCTGGGCAGTGCATTAAATGTGGTAGTCTTGCCCAGCATTGGTGGTGCATGCCTTTAATCCCAGCACTTGGGAGGCAGAGGCAGGTGGATCTCTGTGAGTTTGAGGCTAGCCTGGTCTACAGACAGAATTCCAGGATAGGCTCCAAAACAATACAGAGAAACTGTCTCAGAAAAAAAGTGTAGTCTTATTGTTTAGGTGATCAACTTACCACACAGATTGTCCCCTTCTTCGTATGTAGCTCTGTCCCCACAACCCTAAAAAATAAAGGGGGAAATAACATACACATGGCCAAAGGAGATACTCTTCCACACAATACAAATGGAGATACAACTGAAGACAGAATATCTGCTGATTAGGAAGAGTAAGTAAGGTCGCAGTAAGGTCATGGTCCTCAATTTCCTCTGTGCACCTGTCAGTACTTTCAAGCTTTCAGGCTCACTGATGCTCCTGAGCAGCTTGCCAGAGGTGGAGTCATTTCCAGCACCCTTGCTGCTCCCCAGGATGGCCTGTAGCCTCTGACATGAAGTTAAATTGAGAATACCTCACCAGGTATGGAAAATCAAGCACATCATTAACATGGAAACAATACCTTTCTCTTGTGGATGGGCTTCATTCTAACCTTATTTCTTAAAGCTCATGTGAACCGGAAGAGCCTGCCTCTGCTTCCTTACCTGTGCTCAGCCAACATCTTTAATGCATTTAATTCTCTGTCTGTCTGTCTGTCTGTCTCTATATCTTTCTCATTGTTTCAATGTAAATATGCTGTGCATGATATAAAAATTAATACTCTTCCATATCCAACTTGTAAGAAAAGTGACAGCTACCAACATTTAGATATCTTTCTATATTTCTCTGTGTTTATACAAACATGAACAAATATTCACAGGAGAGACTCACAGGGCTTCCTGATCAGCAATCTGCTTGGTGTTGTAAACTTCACACCTGCACACGTTAATAGAGATGGAGCTTCCCCGCTCCTTTTAGTTGGTAAATCTATCCTACACTATCCTCTCAGCCATCCTCTCAGTGGTGGGTCTTTGGGTTATCTCTGCCTTTACTATTTCAAAGGATGCTTTGGTAAGAACCTTTCTATGGGTTATCTTTATGTATTTTTCTCTTTGGATTGCTGAAATCCTCAGTATTTTTAAAGGATTGGTTTACCATTTTTATTTTACATGTGTGAGTGATTTGCCTATACGTATTATGCAAACCACATGTGTACAATGGCTATGGAAGTCAGAGGAGGGTAACAGATCTGGAACTGGAATTATCAATAATTATAAGGCCCCATATTGGTGCTAGAAACTGAACTCAGGTCCTTCGCAAGAGCAGCAAATGTCCTTAACCTCTGAGCCATCTCTCCAGCCCCCTGAAATCTTAATATTCCTAATTCCTCTAACCCCCACACATCTCAATAACAATAGCTAATAAATACTGAGTATCTATTTATTAACAACTTTTAATCATCTCATTTAATCTTCAAGAAAATTCCAGGTTCATATTATGGCATTTGTTTTACACAAGACATGACAGTGTGGTTAACAGAATGTGTTTTCTATCCTCATGGGCTTTGTAGGGAGGCAGCTATTGTAAATATGTCTACAGGAGCCCCTTGAGCTGGTAGTGACTGGTGTGAGGGATCTTCTCAGGGCAGAGACGTGAGGAGCCAAGCAAGGGTGAGAGTCAGGAGGGCCATGAGTTGACACTGAGCGGTGCAGAGTGGGAAGCCAAGGCGGTGCTAGTGCAGAGAGCAGCGCAGGTGCACAGTACCAGAGTGGACATGAGCACAACTGGGAGCGAGGGGCCAGTGAGAGCAGCCGTAGGAAGCAGGACACAGGTAAGTGACCAAGCTGGGATGGGAACTATGGTTCATCTTAAGATCAACGAGGAGCTGCTGAGCATTTTAAGCAAGGTTTTCTTGTGGGAAGCTCATTCTGAGCTGGCATCCCTGTACTACTTACTCTTCACTCAGAGAAGAGACAGGCTGTCCTAATGCAAAGCACAAGATGTCTTGAGCCTGGTTCCTCACCTGCAGAACACCTGTATATGGAGCTCCTGCAAATGCGAGGCCGTGTGTGGGTCTGGCATTTAGTAAGTGCTCAGTAAACTCTGTGGCATCTCCCTGAACAGATCTGAGCAGATTCTTCCAAGGCTCAGCTTCTGCTTGCCCCCTGTCTTACAGAATCATCCGTACTGATGCTCACCTGCACACCCCATGTGATAAGACCTGTAGTCTATGCAAAAATCACTCATTTGGGTGTCAGCTCTTCCCAGGAAGTCTGCATTTCTGTAACTGCTTTGGTTGCAAATGAATTTTCCTCCCATGTTAAAGGATGAAATGTGATTAGCAGCAGGTGATTCTATGTGGCATGGGGTGGAGGATAAGTGAATGAGGTGAAAATTGTACAGGGAACAAAGGCTGCTGTCCTGGGCCAGACAATGATAGAAGGGACATAAGTAGGTGGACTCCAGAAGTGCTGATGTCCTGAGACCTTCAGTGACTCCTTGGACATCAGAAAGCAACAGTGTCAGAGCTAAGGCTCTGTGGGGAGCAACACAGCCATTGGCTGAGTGAGAGGAAGGTGGAACTAAGAGATTTAAGTTTGAGCAAGTCAAGGTTGAGTTAGTGTGAGAGTCTAACAGAGTCAAACCTGGCAGGAAAAGCTGAGCTAAGACTACTGCTTTAGAAAGCAAGGACCAGGACGTAACAGGGAGGGGTCTTCTGGGGAAAGGGGAGGGAATGAAGGAGAGTCCAGGGGGTCTGAGAACACCGACTTTAGAGGCTGGAGACTGGAAGGAGACTCAGAAGTCTTTGAAACAGCTAGAAAGAGAAGTGGGGGAAAGCAAGGCTGGGCGTTCTGTTGTTGTTATTTTATTGTTGTTTTGTTGTCGTTTCCTGGGAATTCAGACAACTATGCAGAGTCCAGTGTGTTCAATAATGTGAGCAGTCACGTGAGACAAGGGTTTTGTTTCCCATTAACTTTCCAGTTAAGTCCAAAGTCCCCAGACTGACGCTCAAGTGCTTTGATGCCTGCTATTACTCTAGAGCAGTGTCCTCAACCTTCCTAAGCAGAGACCCTTTAGTACAATTCCTCATGTCCTGGTGACCCCCATCCATAAAATCATTTTCATTGCTCTTCATCACTGTAATTTTGCTACTGTTGTGAATTGTATTGTAAATACAAATATCAATATGCATCCCCTGTGAAAGAGCCATTCAACCCACAGATGTGACCCACAGGGCGAGAACACTGCCCTACAGCATATAAACACACCTCCCTAAAGAAAACACGGCTGTAACACACAAGATAGTCCATTGATGTGGGGCTGCCTCCTCTCGCCAGTCCTACCTGGACTCCACTGCAGTCCATTTTCAAGGGCACAAAATATGGCCCCCCGCTTTCAGCCATCAACTGCTCAATGACATCAAGGAGCCGGGACACCTGCTGTTCCCGCTGCTCCTTGTCTGCCTTGTTGTTGAAGGAACAGTATCGATCTCCAATGTTTCCAAGCAACGTCTTAAGAGAGCTCTTGCTGTCAATGTAGTCCTTCAGCGAGTCCTCACCCAGCTCATCTTCCCGAGTGAAGACCACAATCATGTGACTGTAGGCTTCAGTGCCAAACTCACCCTGGATGCCCTCAATGGTCTCTCTGTCCTCCTCTGTATAGTAGCCAATGGGCGTGACCAGGAGCAGCACGTGGAGGCCACCAGCCGAGAGCTTCAAGCACTGCCTCAGGTTCAGCAGCCTGACCTCTGCACAGGACTGTGAGGAGAAAAGATCTGGGGCATCAATGACGGTGACCTGCTTCTCTCTCAGAGACACAGTTTCGCTCTGGCACTGGGTGGTTACCATGTGATCACTGAACTTGGAATCGAACACGGCTTTACCCAGAATGCTGTTTCCTGTGGCGCTTTTGCCTGCACCGTGTTTCCCTAACAGCAGGAGCCGCAGTGTGGATGTTTCCTGGCTCTGTTTGAAGTTGTCCTCCTGGATGGTGCTGTTGAGACAAGAGCCCTGCATGAGCGCTCCCCCCACAGCAAGTGGAGAGGGAACTGCAGGAAAGCTGTCCTCCCTGTTCCCCGAGAATTTAAACTACTGGGTTGGGAGGCCAGGTCTCGCTTCAGCACTCTACAAACTAAGCCTCATCTCCGGCTCATGTGGCTCTGATTATAAAGTCTGATGTTTCATTCTAAGGACTTGGTATACTCTAAAAATGTTAAGGAGGAACACAAAATTCATCTCAGGAGAGGTCATTGCTAAATGTGTGCTTGCCTCATAAAATTCCACAATGACTTGTCTCCTTAGAGGAATTCTTATTCACTAACAATAACGTGTTTCTCAAACATGTCTAGAAAATGAAGAAAAGCATAAACAAAATAAATAAATAATAGGCAAACTGCAATGAATCACGTAAGTTTGTAGTGCTTTTTTTTACTGCATGTATTTGTGGGTTTCATCACACCCATGGGTACATACATGCTCCTCGGGAGTTACTGTACTCTCTAATGATCAGGAGTTCCCTTCAGTTTGAGGCTAGACTTTCCCTAGGAGTGACTCCAAATATCGAAGCTAAAGAAGCAATGGTCTGGGGCTGGAGATTTGGCCCAGTGGTTCAGAGCACCGGCTGCTCTTCCAGAGGACCTGGGTCAGCTCCCAGCACCCACACGGCAGCTCACAACTGTCTGTAACTTAAGTTCCAGGGGTTCTGATATCTTTGCACCAAAGCAAGTAAAAAATAAATTATTAAAAAAAGAAGTAAAATATCTCACTTATGGAGGAAAGGCCACGGCCACATCAGAGACACAGATGTGAGGTGACAATGTACCGCTCTGCTTGTAAGGACTGCACGTGTCTGACTCCCCGTAAAAGCCGCAGTCCAGGCTAAGCTTGGGGGAGCTGTTTAATGAGGCTAACTGGAGTCTTTGAGGCCAAACCCTGAATGTGGCCAAGAGGCAGCATATGAGTAAAGATTGTTCTAGAACCTTTGGGTTTAATGTGGTATGTTCTGTTGGGTTTTAGACTGCCTTGGAGTCTATTATCCACTCTGGCCTATGCCTCCCTTTTGAGATAGGAGAATGTTCCTTGTGCCTGCCTCGCCTCTGTATATTGGAAGCATTTGCTCTGGTTTTCCAGAGCTGGAGGAGAATCTGCCTCGGGATAAGCCCTGCCTGGAGTTTCAGCCTGAGCTGCCTTCACTAAGATTGGACTTTGAATTTTTGAGTTAAAGCTAGGACCACAAGTTAAGACCTCAGGAGTTATTAGTTTGAAATGAGCATATTCCAGATGTGACTCAAATACAAGCTTGAGGTCTAGGGGAGAGTTTATGATCTGAATGCACTCACCAAAGTTGGAAACTTCAGCCACCATTCAGCAGTGGTGGGAGACAACCTAAGAAGAGAAGACTAGAGAACAGAGGTCTGCACTCACAAGCAGATCAAAGCCATTCCAGTGGGAGTGTGTTGCAGATTACTAGAAGAGTGACTCGTCATAAAAGTGAGTTTGTAGGGCAAGAGAGACTGCTCAGTGGTTTAGAGCATTGGCTGCTCTTGCTGAAGACCTGGGCTCAGTTCCCAGCATCTACCTGGTGACTCACAACCATCTGCAGCTCAGTTTTAGAGGATCTGATCCCCTCTTATGGCATCTTCAGATGCTGCATTATGAGAGGCACAAACGTGCATTCAGGCAGAGCACCCATACACATATTTTTCAAAAGTAAATAAATCATTTTAAGTGAGCTTGTACCCCTCCTAATGCGCCATGCACTCCACCCCCCCCCCCGACCCTTTCCTTTTCCTCATAGTATAACTCCAGAAGAAGGCCTTTGCCAGGCACGGACCCCTTGGGTCACCCAGCCTCAGGTATCTGATGATACCAATAAGTAACACACTAAGGCCTCCATCCTTGTAGAAGGGTTCCATGGTTTCATGAAGCAGTAGCCCCTGTGCCCTATGGCACATTTTCTCTCAAGGCCAAAATCGACAGAGCAAAGGGAGACCTGGGTTTTGACAGACCTTTCTGTACAACATGCAGGCACCATGAACAGAGGACAGCTACAGCACTATGGCCCAGTCTTGGGCATCTCTTGGGGACAGGGTTGGAAGGATATTCTCTCTGTGGGTAGAACTTTGAGCAGTGGACCTTGTTCATTTCACTAGAAGAAGAAATAGTCAGATATTCAACTATTACCAACATGTGGATTCCAGCCAACAATGAGGCTGGGTGGTGTGGATTTGGAAACAGCATGGCTGTAAAATCCGTGCTAAGTTTGTCTGAAAGAAGTGTCTGGAAGTACTTGAAGGGAAGAAAACCAGGAGAACTTCTGAATGCTCATCAGAAACTGACCTCTGCAAAGGAAGATCTGGGTCATCAAGTTGGTAGGATGACCCACACTGTTGGTGCCAGTCAGCCTCTTCCCCCAGATACCCAGTCATCAGTCCATGAGCTCAGACACAAAATGGTCACAGTTTTGTACATGGACCTGGTAATGTGGAAGTATACAGTGCCATCTCTCCATAGCCATGACTCGTGGTTCAGGAATTCACAGGTAGAAACCAAGTGAAAATAGCACCACTCAGAATCAGCAAAATGTTTGCTTCCAGTCACAAAGACCTTACACTCTGGTGGTACAGAGGTCTTGGTTACAGAGAGCAGAATGTTTCCACCAGGACATAACCATCACACTATACTGGCAGTTAAGACTGTACATAAGTTCCTCTTTCTGTCTTCCCAGGATGCAACCCAAGGGTATCATGAGTTGAGCCATTGGGGGAGCTTGTGTGACACAAGGATTCATCCTCCATCAAGATGCAAGTGGATCACAGAGAAAGGAGGTCAGAGAATCTACCAGAACCCAGCAGGGGAAGAAATTTAGCCTTAACCAGTGGGTCAGTCAGCATAAGAAAGGGTTAACAGGTTGGGTTAAATTGGACTTCTTTCAACATGCAATTAACTGGGTCGTCTGTGCAAGGGCTGGGAAATGTCAGAACACAGACTGCTTGCCCAGGAGACTGATAATCCCGATTGCACCTGCCGACCTCCTCGTGGGAGCCCAGCTCCTGAGATGCCTCTTGCCAGCCTCTTGAACCTCCCAATCTGCTGTCTTCTTGCTCCTTGACAGACCTCCTGACCAGAAGCTGCCCCACACACACACACTTTCTTAAGAAGTGGATTCTACCTGCATCTGGATTCAGTTGGAATGGCATGGTTCCTGCCAGGGATAAACTGTCCCAATGCTCTTGAAATCAAACCTGACATGGGGGGAGGCTGTCTTCCATGGGCCAAACATTCCCCAAAGGTTTGATAGTGCGTGCACACACACACACACGCACACACACACACACACACACACTCACACACACACACACCTGAAGCATACCTTGGTCCTTCCCCCTGTTCTATCGATGTCTCGAAGCTTCTACACTCCTCCTGGCTTCCTCCAGCTGCTCCTCGGTGGGATGAAGTGGCCATCTCTAGTCTCAGGCCAGCAGAAATGAACCCTAAAGAGAGCCAGGGACCACACGAAGAGAATTAACCACGTCACTAGGGCCCCAATCTCCCTGGCAGGAGGATTTCCTGTTTTTCTGGGAAGAAAAAAGTTTCTAGAAACATGTATTATTACTTCAGTAGAGTCTGAGAACACGGAACAGACTAAAGAAGGAAGCTAGGGAGGGGCAGTGTGAACACACAGGCACAGCCTGTCTGGTGATGCTGTAGGGAGCCACCATGTGGCAGAAGGCTGTGGGATCACAGCCATTCATACTGCTGCAGACAGATGTGACAGAAAAGGCCAGCTTGGGTCTTGTCAAGGTGAACTTCTGCTGTGAGCATGACCCAAATCCAGAGTTGTCTGGGAGGAGAAAGCCTCAACTAAATGATTGCTCATGACAGACTGGCCCGCAGCAATGTCTGAGAGTCATTTTCTTAATTGCTGATTGATAGAGGGCCTAGTTTGCTGTGCCCTGTGCCATCCTAGACTGATGAGCCTGAGCTGCATAAGAAAGGGAGCTGAGCAAGCCAGAGGAACCAGTCAGCAGCCTTCCCTCATGGTCTCTGCCTTAGTTCCTGCTTCCAGGTTCCTGCCTTGAGCTCCTGCCCTGGCTTCTCTCTGATGGATTATAAACTGTAAAGCAAACATTTTCCTTCCCCAGTTGCTTTCAGTCGTTGTGTTTATCACAGCAACAGAAAAGCAAACTAGAGCAGGTCTATTCTCTGCAAATAACAAAATCAGAAGTTTTGGTTGAATTCGGTGTGGGGGTGAATCGCAGCAGGTTTTTCTCCTGGCTAATCTTTACCCCCACCCCACTCTTTCTCCCAGAATTCAACGCTCCCTCATAGATGAGTAAAAGCTTTTCCCCAGCTAGGAAAACACAGAAATGTTCATGTTTTCCAGTGGCTCACAGAGTTCAGTGTATCCCAGCACCCCAATCTGATCTATACTTCCTAAGCAAGGGACACTAAACAGGACACAGCTTCCTTTTTAGAAATCATAAGTGAACTGTGAACTGTGTTTGTGCTATAATGATCCTGAATGATTGGGGGATAGGGAACATACAGGCTATACTTTGGTGAGGGAAACCACCAAAAGCCCCCCCCCGTCTGCCCCGCCCACTCCCCTCACCTCCTTAATAAAGAAGGCCCACTCTAAGAAGAGTCCCCACCTCCCCTGGGCATCCGGTCAATGCACAGAAAATCATCTCAGTCAATTTATCAGGTGAAAACTGCAAACAGCCTGTGAGAGAGGGGCTAAAGGCCAGCAAGCTACGGCTGTTCCAGAAGAGAAAACTATAGACTGGGGGTGGGGAGCAGGGATCTTGAATGAACTTTAGGATTTGGGGCTGGGGTGGTGTTTATAGTGAACATAAAGCTTCATGTAACTCCTATGTGATTTAGCGGGTGCCATTTACCAAGCTGGCTTTTGCACAGAATCATCTTCCAGCAAGAGCTGATTTTGCTGTGTTGTTTCTAGTTTTGCTCTAAGCATGAGGGTCCCCTGCCCTCTAGTGGCCATGTATAATGACACAGGGAGCAAATGTGGACCTGCAAGATCCCTGTGGACTCTCCTAGCCCTCAGTAGGGACAGGAAGAAGAGGGACTGTAAATTGACAGAAATTGAATAGGAAGAAAGACTCAGTCCTTCGAGGAGGATCCTACCATGACAATGAACTGTGTTAGACCAGGCTCAAAGATTAGTAAGGACTTTAATCCCAGCACCTGGGAAGCAGATGCAGGTGGACCTCTGCTAGGTCCAGGCAGGCCCTGTCTCCAAAAACAAACAAAAATCCAAACAAATGAAGAAGAAGAAGGAGGAGAAAAGGAGAAGAAAGATTTTCAGGGAGCCCACAGTCTCAGGACAAGGAAGCCACCAACCCTGCCATAATGAAACAGCATATGCATGGGGCACAGTGGTGTTCAGTGGTCCCTTAGAACAAGGGAAAATATTTTCTACTCTGGTGCTCGAGGGGATTGTTGGAGCAGCCAGGGAGTGATGGGAAATCTCTGGCTGCTCTGGGTAGTTCTCTGATTCTCATCTGGGGGCATTTCCAGGGCATCTGGGCTGCAATTCCAGGCCACCACTGCACATTGGAGTATGAGCTAAGAGGTCCCATCTGCTCCTTGTGGAAAACCCCACCTTCCTTCTACAGTTGACAGACGCTTGTCAAGGCTACACTTGGTGGGACCTGTAAGCAAGGGGGAGGGGCTGACCTCTTGTAATCTGGAAAGATAAGGTGCTACCTTTCCCCCTGCGATTTCTCTTGTATTTGATGTGTGCTGTGAAGACAACTTATCCAGGGTCTTTGGCATATGGTGGGGATCCCTTTTCTTTCCCCTCCTGGCCTGGCCTGGCCTGGCATTCACCACTTCTTTTCGTAATGGCGGTGTATGTGGCTCTGACGTTTGACCTGCTAGTTTAGTTTCCTTCCTGCTGGACTGACTAACTTATTCAAGGGACCGACCAGAAGTCAGGTGCCCCTTGCTCCAGAATGCCAAGTGCTCCTTTCTCTCACTCTGGATTTGTGGCCATCGAGTAACCCCTTCCAGGTCAGCTCGGCAGGACAAACTGCCAACTGAGACCAGTTGCAGCACCACAGGAAGAGAAACTTTTTCTTTCCTTGGGACACCCAGGAAAAGGGCACAACTTGAGTTAACGTGGTAAGATTGGCTCTTTCTTTTGTCCAAGAGCCAACTGTCAGGGTGAACACTGGCCTCTGGTGGAACCCTCAAAACAGCTTGTGTCCTTTTATTCCCTTTGACTCATCCCTGTTGGTCTATATCTCCAGACCCTGACCTTAAACACCACCAAGCTATTTCCCTATCGTCAGCCACATTCCTAGATATCTGCCTGGTTGTTTTTTACTGGCATTAACAAGTTTGCTTCTTTGACCTAAGTGTAAATAACCAGCTTTACTTTAAATCCTTTGCCTTTATTAAACTGTTCTCAATTTAGGTTAAGCTCTGTGTTGTCAAGGTACAAGCTTTCTAGCTTGATTCTACTAAGCATGCACTCTTATTGCTTTTTGAGTTTCTTCTTAAAATGTTCAGTATTGTTCACCCCATGTACTTGCTCATTTGTCACAATTTTGTGTGCAGGTGGGATGGTTAGCCTGTATTTTTTTTCCTTCAGTTTTAATTATCAATGTACTTTATGTGGTAAGCACACGTGAATGTGGAGGTCAGAAGGCAATTTCAGGATTTGGTTCTCTCCTGACATGGAGGTCCTGGGTACCCTCTGAGCCATTTGATTAGCCCTAATCTAGTATGCTTGTTATCAGTATGTATATTCTGTATGTCATAATAAAGTATATGTTAGGTGGCACAATTACATGATAAAGCTTCTCTGCCCTCAAAAATAAGTTGATTCAACGAGGCCAACAAATACACAAGAGTACATGGTGATTTTCAGACAAGTTGAGCTGCCTAGAGGAGGCACTGATCAGCCAAGCCAACAGGAAGAGACAAAGAACACCTGACGTTTTGTTTTGTCTGAAAGACAGTCTGAAAGGCTGACAGTCCCCAACCTACTGAGCTCCCTGCAGGCTCCCAGAGAAGTGAGCTCCAGGTTCCCAGCTGCAATGAGCTTTGTGACCTGTGCTGGGTGGCTTTGGTGGTGTAGCTGCCTTGAGACATTTCTGCTCCTATAAGTATCCCCTCATCTACATGTCTATAAACAACCCCAGTAAAACTCACTGGTCCCCAAGGGTGAACTTTAATAGTATCGTTCCCTATGTGAGATGAGCAGACCTCCAGGAATAGTGTCACATAGCAGACAGTATTACAAACTGCTTCTTCTCAGAGTCTATGTTCACTCTCTGAGAAATGACATAATATTTTAACCTGTGAAATCCTGACTTTGCACTGGACTGGTCTCTTACTTTTATCCCTGTCATAAATAATAACTGGTACATGGGTAAAGAATTATTCTGTTGGAAGGCAATTCAATTCTTCTATAAAGTGATTATCCAATTACTTCCCCAAGCTGGAATCTAGTGAAATATCAAAATACAATGACAGATCAAGTCATTAGCCTCAAACAAAAGGTATAATAATTTAGATACAGAGAATTAATCTCTTCTAGAATTATAGCTAGCCACTCCATATGAAATCGTGGCTATGAAACCAAACAGCCAGAAGAAAAACTAGAATTAAAGACTGTATTATTTAATTTTCTATAGGTGTGATAAAAGACCCTGAGAAAAAATAATTCAGGAAGGGAAGGGTTTATTTGTCTTAAAATCGGAGAATGGTTTGAATAAGAATGGCTGCTATAGGCTCATATTCGAGTACTTGATTCAGACAGTTGGTGGAACTGTTTGGGAAGGGTTAGGTGGTGTGGCCTTGTTAGAGGGTGGCTTTGAGCTTTTAACAGACACATGCTGTTCTCACTGTGTTCTTTGACTCATGCTTTCAAGATGTGACCGTTCAGCCGCTCCTGCTGCCACGCCTTCACTCTGGAACCACGAGCCCATTAAACACTTTCTTCTACAAGTTGGCTTGGTCACTGCGTTCTATCACAACAATAGAAGAGTAACTGATACAGGAGATCATCATGGGGCAAGGCCATGAAACCTCAAGTTCACCTCTGTGATGTACTTCCTCCATTGACTCCACCTACTGAAGGTCCATGACCTTTCCAAACGGCCCCAGCAACTGGAAAACAAGTGTTCAAATGCTGAACATATGGAACATGTTTCTCATTCAAACCACAGCCTTCCACCCTGGCCCCCAGGCTCATGGTCATCTCTTGATGCAAAATGCATTTAGTCAGCTTTGTCTCCATAGTCTCTAAGAGTACCAATGCTGTTTAAAGGTCCAAAGCTTCTCCTCAAATTAACCTAACAATGACCACCCTGTACAAAAAAAAAAATCATATTACATATTTCCAGCATACAATACCCCAGGGTATACATTCCAAAAGGGAGGGATGGGAAATAGTGGGGAAATATTGATTCCATCCCCCCACAAAAAAACAAGACTGAAACCTAGCAAGGCGACTGCCAAATCAGTTAGCTCCATGTTTAGGCTTGCACTTCAAGGGGCTTAAGTGCCTTCATCCATTCAGTTTTGCTGCCTGCCACAGACAGCTATCTTTTACACTGTTTCCAGTGCTATAT